AGAGAGAGAGAGAGAGAGAGAAAGAGAAGGGAGAGAATGACAGCCATAATGCCTCAACAAAACTGAGTGACATAATGCCCGGCATAGGATTTGAACCCGGGTAGCAAGCGTTGTAAACCAACTTGACTATACGCCTGGTTCTAAAGTTACGTGCTGCGACAGGACGATGTAATGTATAATGTGTACATATTATTTAGGTTGAAAACAGACTCAGGAATAATATGGGGTGTGGACGCATTTTGTGAATATGTCTGAAACTCAGGTTAGCTCAATGTGTATCGTACGTTTGGTGCCACATAGAACAAACAAGCGTATAGCTAGAGAACGACAACTAAAGCCATTAGCCGATATTTATAGTAACAGCCATCTTGTTTGACGTCATTGATGGATTCCCACTTTGTCAGTCATGGTGGCAACACGACTGCTGGACGGCAGCCTGCCGACTCAGATTATTTTCTTTGCAGAACTGTTCGGTTCGGTTGTCTGCAATTGTGCAGCACACTTCTTCCACCCAGATTGATTTAGATTCTGTACCCTACGTAAACTGAAAAGAAGAAGACTAAGAGCAGGCCTACGTACGAAAGCAAGTTCAAACAAAGTTCAACGACACAGCGGAAATGATCGCCGTTTCGATCCGGATAGTTTCTTTCAAAGTTTTGTAAGCACAAGAAATTAAGCACTTGCAAGAGATTAGACTTAACAGGACGCTGAGCTGCAAATGGAGGAGATCTGATTCGAGACTTCAAGGTTTGCAAATGAATACTGTGCCGAGCAAAAGCAGTATTCTAGGGGGACCCGCTGGAAAGACTCAAAGAGGGAAGCTTGAAAGCTGCCCGTGCAAACCGCTCGCTACGCAAAATCATCACTCTTTATTAGAATCACGATCAGATGACGCGGCTGGCATCCCCCTTGCGAGGTCAAACAAGATGGCGGCTATAATAAATATCTGCCAATGGCGTTTAGGTGTCGTTCTCTAGCGGAGAATGTTATCATCGATAAAACGACATTCCATGGTTATATAATTGCATTTCTTAGCACAGTTGAAGCCTATGCAACGTTCAACGTTGACTTTTTGGGGGGACGTTCTTTTTACAAGACAGGCAATACGAGGTGCATTAATTGTCTTTAGATAAGAGTGGGAGACTTCTCACGACCTGCATGCTTGCTCGAAGGTTTTGTTGATGCAAGGAAAGTAAGCTCGTTTGGATAAATGATTCCCCCCCCCCCCCCCCCCGAATGTCAAAGAAACACGACAAAGAGAATAAAAGCATCGTAACAAGCTATTATTCATAACTGAACACCCCCACACATACTAGTAAATCAAAAGTTAATATGTTAGGCATGGTGGTGAGATCAGTCTCTCGCCAAGATAATGAGATCCGAGTAACAGGTATGTTTCCGCCCAGTTAGGCAATTTTCATTGATTTTTGTTTTTTGGCTCAAATCCGTTTATGTCCATACAAAAAAAAACATGTGTCCAAGTGGATTTTACTGAAAAATATTCATTAAAAGCACAACATATTATGTCATGTTTTCAGTTTTCAAGGACTCTTTAGCTAATGGAGTTACCAAACTATGACGGTCATTTTCTCACTAGTTTCACCCCTGAAACTAGGCGACTTCAACTCCTTCAATCGCAAATACATTGACTTCTATTCATAATAGAAGCGGTTTTTTTCCACTGAAAGCAAAACAAACGAATAAGCTTTCAGATAGTACCAATAACCCAACATGCCCAAAAAATTTGACGAGTGCCTCATTCCACAGTGTCGTGACACATATTATGTGAAAAGTATGAATATGATAAACCCAACCTTAGTGCTAACGTTATGTTTATTCTATTTCTCCAGGGAAGTTGGTAAACCAATAATTACCACGGACAAAGACTAGGCAGCTACGCTCAACCCTAACCATAGGGCCATTAAGTAAACCTAATCCCTTGACACAAACAGAGTTGTGTTTATTCAAAGGGAATATCCCCACTCATCTGTTTACTTTTGTCATGTAAAGAAATTCGTGACATCTAAAGGCAAAATCAGCTTCTTTATTTTATAGTATCTCTGCCCAAATAATTATACTTTTCACTAACGCCTTTGACAGGATTTGGAATAACAATAATCGAAAAAAATAATATCAGTCACTTTGGAGCAGGAAGCGCAATTGCCTACCTGGAAGCAAAAATAGTACATGGGTCCAATCACCAACAGGTACTGATGTGTTGATTCTTTTTGGGTTACTTGCTATTGGGGCGTATCTGTATCTCATGGGGTGAACTTGTTTTTGCCCAAGTAGAAAGGTTTTAGTCTTTAAAGGGGTTCGAAAGATGTACACGAAACATTGTGCCCTACAGGCAAAGGGAAAATGGTGCTACAAAATATTTACACGTACATAGTATTATCATTTATTCCACATATCACATAGTAACAATATTACTGACAAGTTTGATAAGGTTTGAAAGAAGCACGCATGTAACCTATCAACCTGTATTGTTTATTACGACATTTGGAGTAAAACTAATTCAGAAAAAGCGTGTATGGATTGGCCTCACAAAATCCCCTTCTTTCCATTTCCCTGCCTCTCCCCACCCCCGCCCAACGCCACACACACACACATACAAACACAGACACACCCAAACACACACACACACACACACACACACACACACACACACACACACACACACATACACATACACACTCACACACACACAACACACACGCATACATAAATAGATATGCATTAAAGACAAAAAACAAATCTAAGAAAAATCCCATGATTGCAGATGTGAACAGTGTTTACCTGCAGCAATGCACGCCATCCACAGTGCAGACACACGTGTAACAGCCTAACACCAGGTCTTGACCAACGGTCAGCAGGCGCCGAATGAGGGGGACAGGTGTTTGGCAAAAGTGTATCACTCTGTTAAAATACGCTGTGGGAGACAAACACCATTTCAACTTAGTTAAAAAATTGCCAACGCAAAGTTCAGGCACATTTGGTGACTTAATGTATTATCATGTTGTTACATAAATTTAGCGCCCACCTAAACACAAAAAATACCATTTCAAAGGTGGAGGTCTTTGGCTAATTGTAAGATTGAACAGACGATGCTGGTAGTCCTCTTGAGTCTTATTTTAAGAAAACCTAAAACAAGCCAAGATTCAGAGGACGCTGGTTCTGTGGATAAGAAACAACTTAAGGTTGAACGTTTGGGAGTTACTAAAATTTAAAAATTTTCCTCACAACTGACGGGCTTATATCTTAAAATATTTAAGAAATGTATGAGATGTGTTACAGAGTATGCGCCTATCATTCATTTTGATGCTGCAACGTTGACTGAGAGTGGGACCTCTGCTCGACGTTCACCACCAAGTGAAGCAAAGAAAGTGAACCGGGAGCTCTGAAAATGTGAGGAACTCAAATTGTTAATAAAATAATGCTTCTGTAGAGGATCAGTCCGGGGTAGCTTACGTTGTGTAACTGAAATACTCTGTGTGCTGAAGAAGACTTTATGATTTAATCAGCTGTGTATACCAATTTTGTATTGTTTTTTTTTTCTTATTACGCTAGAGAGACAAAGTGCATCTTATTGTATCTATGTTTTGTCACTGTTACACCTATTATATGGTATGTTATATTATGATTTCTGTTGCACGTTATTTAGTTTATTCCGTCATTGATGTTTCTTCAGTGCGCTTCCAACTGTTTCCTAGCCCCACCTCTACGTTAGGGGTATATTCTTAATCTTCTATGTTCAACTAAAAGCTGACTGCTGAGACAGATGCATGCAGCAATCTATAACTGTTTTTATAATTTCGTTTTCAAAGTTATAGCTCACTCAAAATCCCAAGTAAACTTTGAAAGTCTACGCTTCAAAACATGTTGGACCTTCTAATTTAAGGTCCTTTTCATGGATCATAGAATCACATGAGTTAAAGTCTCAAAAACTCGTAAAAATCCAAACATTAAAATTGGTAAGTTAGAGATTCGAATTAAAGACACCTTCGCTCTAGACCAACGTGATCCCACTGCAGCTATTACCGGTAACGTTATGTACTGGGCAAACTTGGATAGCTAGTGGATGTGGTGGTTAGAGTGCCTAATGCATATTTATATTCAAGAGTCAACCTTTCAGAATCTAAGCAAAAAACTCACCGAACTCAATCAAGTGTGATACCAATCCAAGTGTCTTGTCTGAGTGGGGTACAGCCTTTCAGTCATAGGCCAAGCACAAAACTAAATAGGAAAGGGTGTAGCCAACCATCAACGATTACGTAACCCTTCTGAAGTAACAACAAATTAAATGTTATTCAGTGTAGGCGTACAAACATACACTGACCTAATTCTCTTTGCAGAACCACTTAATCATGAGAATTGTCTGACATTTCCGAAATGTAAATGCCAGCGCGATGCTCATCCAAGAGCGAACTCTAAAAATAGGATATGTCTTTGCGTACAGCTCAATCAGATCATGCACCAGTTCGCTGAAAGATTATAGTGTACACTCTGAAGTGTTGCTGTTGCTGTTGTTATTGCCCGATTCTGTTGCTGTTATATTTGTGATTTTTGTTGCTGCTCTGATTGTTATTGTTCTTGTTCTTGCTGTTTCACAGCCTTTTGTTGTTGATGTAGTTCTGTAGAACGAGAACGTTATTGTTGTTGCTTCAACTAACGCAATTTTAAATTCCCAGAAAATGATATTACAGTAAGAAAGACGAGGCGGCTGCTCATGTGAGCGATATGTTATTCCAAAACTCGAACTTCTTTGTGACAATTGTCTGCTGTCTCTCAGCAGACAAATTATGATAATATGCTTCCCAGACTATCATCTGATACTGTTTTGAGATAAAAAGACTGAATAGATGTAGATAATAAAATACACCAGAAGATTATGTTTCTGAGATTACAATACTTATAAATCGTTTATCATAAACTGGCGATGATCTATAACATCAAAGAAGTAAGGGAAGTTATAAAACTTGCTACCTGAGTAGATAGGTTGGTAAAGGGAGAAAAGAAACGAAAATAATAGAAGACAATTTGAAATACCACTCAACTCCCTGCAGGTAGCGTGAGTAAATTTCCTTTTCTTAGAGTGGTGTGCGTATGTGCTTTAAACATAATGCAGTTAGGTGATTAAACCTTCTAATGGCTTCGCTTGTAACGTTTAAAGAGAATTTTTTTGGGGAGGATTTTCTTATATTTACTTCAATAATAACGGTAACGATTTTTTTGGTTGAAAATACGAAGAGGCTGAAACAGTTAACATCGCTTAAAAACGTTTTTGGAATGATTGTACCTGTTTTTCACCACTTTGACACACGTTTAGCAGGCAGTCTACACTGAAAAATACCACACGAGTATAAACAGTCTGAGCGCTTTACATTGATGACTTGATCACTGCGCATCAAGGTTCTCTCGTGGTTACGGTGTTCGCCTCTCATTCAATAGGTCCTGAAATGGGAACCTGACAGGGACGGACAATTTTCTTCTCTAAAAATTTTCTCTCTTCCCCTCCGTTCCTGCTATCTGACTTTATTCTGTCGTCTGCGTTTGTCTCCATAGACTGCCCCCCTCCCCCACTTTGACCCCTGCTCTGGGCTCCTGACTCTTTCTGCTGCCGTTCTACGGCTACTCCGTAGCTTCTCAGTGCTGTCTTTCAGACACACCCCTGATCGTAGGGTAGGAAAGATCTGAAACATAGCGTTCTCGAATAAAGGTGAAAAAGTGTTGGAGGTCCCGTTTGAAAGTTTGACGCGTTAAAGATCACTTGGTTTTCCTAAAATCAATAAGACCCGGGAAAATACAAAACTGAAACTGAAAATCCGTAAAGGGGGAGGGGGGTGGGGGTGGGGGCTGGTTTTAAAGTTGACGGTTTTGGACCAGTTTATGGTATCTGGACGTTTTACGTATTATGATACGTCAACTGCATGTAAATCTAAAATTTAGTAAAATTGCTTACTCTTTGCGATGCAATCATCATCTTTCAGGTTTTCTCTCCTTCAACTTTTATTATGCTATTATGTAACAAAATGTCGGTTTTTTTTTCTCAAAACTTCAATTTTTGGAAGTTTTTTTTCATTTCTATTTGATTCCAGAAAAATTTTCAGGGCTTGATATTCACACTATAACCGAACTTTATACAGGTGGAGAGGCAAATAAATGCTTTCATAATGAATTACATGAACGGTTATGTACTAGAATTCAGAGGCATGAAGGGGTAAGTCAGTTATCCTTCTCAAACTTTTTTCCATTCAAGATATCCAAGATCCCAAGTGTATAACATTTTGTATTGAGTATATCTATCAATGCACCAAATTTGATTGGTTGGTAAATAAAAAATTCTTTTTACTTTTATGAAAGGTGTTATCAACTTAAACAAAAAAAAAATAAAGTTACATTGTAAAGATATTTCCCTGTTATACCTCACTGCTAAAAGGCTTTATCTAAAAGGTCATAGTTACCGAGATAAGTTTATAACCCCCCCCCCCCCCCCCCACCTTTAATATGTGCTGCGCCATCATAATATTATGGCTGTATTCAGTTTCGAGTGCTATAAAGCACTTAAGTACGTACCAAAAACAAAATAACAACAAAAACAAAAAATGAACGAAAAACCCAAAAATAGCAAAAACACAAAAACAAACAAACAAACAAATTGACTTCATTCATACAATATCAAATTAATTATTCCACAATAATAGAGAAAACCGGTTCAACCCCATGAAGAAGAACTTTCTCAACCATACCTTAATTAAATACGTAAGAACAGCAATAAAAATATTACTTACCAACTCCTACTAAAACATTATAACTAAGACTTAAATAAATGAGTTTTGAGAAAACACGTAAAAGTATAAGGATTTGTTATTTCTCTGAGATCCTGGGGCCAGGAGTTCCAATTTCTAAGGCCACAAAATGAGAAACTATTTTCATCAAAATATCTTAATTTCATCACATGGGCTCTATATTTTGTTGCGTCTGTGAAAGAACGTAACTTACGGGATTGAGCAAAAGGTATTAAAAGCTCAGGCATATGATGGAGCTTTATTGTTGAGACATTTTTAACAGATTGTAGAAACTTTATATTGGATTTTTTTTGTCCACACCAGAGCAAAGACTAATCATTTTCAATGCAGGATCTTTCTGCTTTCTCTTCTGTACCAGCCTTGCGGTGTTATTTTGGGCCATTCGCAATTTCCTCATTCTCTCACATGAGATACCAGACAGAACAGAATTGCCATAGTCACGTATGACAAAACAGCAGAGACAGAGAGCATGCACGCAATATCAGTTGACAAAAGGTGCCTCATTTTATTGCTTCTTCTAAGAATAAATATTAATGAGGAAACCGGCTGAGTGGGCATACTGATACAGAGAAATAATTGCAAAATAAAGGAATCCCCTCGGAAGTCAAAATAATACACTTTGTCTGAAAGGCAGAAAGCATAAACGTAACAAAAAATGCTAGTTTGGTTGAATGCAGGTGTGTTAAAACAAACTTTGTTGTCTTGCAGCTTAACAGCATTGTGTTTATCCCTAGAATCTATATTGGCGAATAATAAACGTAAAACAAATTGATCTGGCGAACTCTACGGATAAATCATTTCACCCAAATTCCAGTGACATACAAAAAGCAACCCCAGATGGTGGGAACACACATGGAATGTTGTTTTCAATTATGTGTGAATATACGTAAGACTGATTTCACGGGTACATAATTATATTATAGTGAGCCCGTAGTCGAAAAAGGCTTGATATGCTATTGAACTACTGACGCCTCAATGACAGCAAGACATTAAACAATCACCAGTCTTTTATGTACCTAAAAGATAATAACAATGCTATAAAACTCTTTTTTCCTGCTAGAATAACACTTACTGCTTAAAGTACCTCCGCAAACATATAATCATTAATAAGTCGCCCCCTTCC